ATATAATATCCCTCACCTATTGCAGGAGTTACGTTCCAGAGACCCCTGTGGTAGGTGAAAATCCACAAAGTAGCAGTGTTATACTCATTTTATTATTACTATATATTTAAAGCATTATAAACCCTTCCCCACTCTCTTATTAACCTTTCCCTGTAATGAATTTAGCAGAGGACCCAAAATTTCAACCAGACACAGCACGCGTTCAATAAGCTTTATTTTGAAAAGACTGGTGGGTGTCGGCACACGTCTGTGGAAACGCACTGGAAAGTTTTGCGAACAAAACAGGAGAATCCAGGGCACAGAAATTTGGTCAGAATGAGGAGATCAGTCAGGAGCAGGAGCTAATCGCTGAACATTTACTTGTGCAAGACGTTCAATAATCTGGTGCCAGATAGAAAACAGGGCAGTGCATAAATACTACAACCACCAGGTGGAAAGAATTATGCTGATCACATCGCAAGTGGGCGTGGTGAACAGACAGGCAGAAATCATGACATTCACACTCTCTTATAAATACTTCTTTAAACACTTTGGCAATGGAGATGAATGCACAATACTGCACAGCACATACAGTACACACTATATATAAAAAAACAGGTTTAAAAAACCCGAGATACAGTGAAGCTGCAAGAAGTGAACCCCGATATAGCGAGGGAGGACTGTACTTTCTCATCATGTCATTAAGTTCTGCAGAAGCCTGGCTATGATCTGTTCATTTAAATCAGGTGTTGAAAGAGGGAAACATCTAAATCATGCAGGAGGAGAAACCCTGAAGACAGGGATGATACAACATTAGATCCTGCTTTTCAAGCAAGCAAATTAATTGAGTCTTAGTTACTAAATTAACTTTGGTGTGTGTTTCTTTTCTGTTTTAGGATCTACGAGCTTGATATACATTTTTTAAACACTTAAAGTAGTCACATGCAAACTCACTAAAACTATTTAATAAAGTTAATTCCTACAGTCAGTTATGATCTTGTCCGTTATGACCCTCAGTATTTGATGTCTACAACAAACACTGAACTAGTTACATAAGAAAGTAAAACAAAAAGAGCATAATCTATGTTGTAGTGGCTTTTTATCCTTTTTAAATATTCTGGTGAAGATTCTCGGTCATCCAGGTCATGGTCAATACCTTCATAAAAGAATGGATCCTTATGGAAAGTAAATAAATAAAATGTGTGAACCACAATCACGGAATTAATGTAATCTAATGAACCACGTCACCTATCCAAACATTAGCAAAATAAGGAGAGTTCAAGTGCCAAAGGAACAACAGTGTAAAGAGTGAAAGACATGTGCTGTGTATGTGCAGCAAGTTGATGTGAAGGACCAACCTGGAGCCTTTTCATAGTCTGTGAGTCCTGATCAGCCTTGACCTTGCAGGCCACCAACAGCTGAGCAGTGGAGGCCGCGACCTGCTTGGCTGACGAGATGAGCTTCTCTTCACTGGCGTGTCCCTGCACTGCAGAGTTGGCTGCCTCACACAGATTGTTGGTGGCTGCTGCAACCATTCGAGCCTAAGCAGTCAAGATGAGCAGCGGTCAAACAATTCAATAACATCACAATCATTCCAAAACTGAAGCTTATATGAAGAAACTTACAGCAGAAATCAGACCCTGAGACCACTGTCCATCATCCACCGCGTTGGCTGGGATTGCTCCAACCTGAAAACACAGCACAGCTTGAATTCATACTGGATTTTTAATACTGTATATTTTTACTAACTTGGGTTTTATGACATTAACTTAAGTCAAGAATAAAGACATTAAAGGACATATTTGTTTATTTTTACCAGTAAGTTGCCAGTATTTTACCTGCAGTAGACAGTGGTCAGAACATTCATTTTTGACAATCAAAAGGAAAACAGAAACAGAAAAGCAAAGTTTAACTAAAAAAAAAAATCTAATTTACCTACACTGAAAAATATCCTGTCTCCTAAACCTTATGTAGATTCACAGAATGTTTTTGCCATTGACCTTCTATTCAATTCAGTTTATTTATATAGCACCAATTCACATGAGAAGTCATTTCAGGGTACTGAACAGAAACATTCATATACATAAAAATCAGTCAACAATGTTTATCTCTTCACCTCCACTGAGAAGCTATTTATGTGTTTCATTATCACTGCTGAGGAGTCCCACCAATGTTGTCTCATCAGCAAATTTAATGAGCTAGTTTGTACTGAATTCTGCATAACAATCACGTGCCGAAAGAGTGAAGAGAAACAGACTGAGTACACATCCCTGAGGGGCCCCGGCGCTCTGAATGATATAGAACTACTAAAATACATTTTGCCTATTGTCTCCCAGACAGGAAGTCCAAAATTCAGCAACAAGCAAAGTTTTCAGTCCAAGCATGAACTGCTGTGGTATAATGGTGTTAAAGGCTGATGAGATGTTGAACAGAACTGTTCTTTTCTCCCAGTGGGATAAGGCTAGATGGCGGGTGAGAGAGTGAATGATTTGTGGACTGGTTGGTAAGACAAACTGAAGGCGATCCAGAAAACCTAATAAGCTAGTTTTAATGTAAACCAGCACTAGTGATTTTTTACACCAAATTTTATTAAAAAAAATAAATGATACTGTTACTCAAATCTCTGTAAATGTTTTGTGATTTGAGGTATAGCAACGTTTTTCTGTGGGAGTTTTCTAGGTGGAAAAAGTTTGCCATTTGGTTGTACTGCTCACACTGTCTATAAAAATCTTTGATTCTCCACACAAACATCTGCAGGTGAGATACTGACAACTCAAAAATACTTGAAAAAAAAAACAATTAATAACAAAAATAGAAAAAGTCATGAGACTCCCTCATTTTATTAGCAGCAAGTAAGAACCTGCGTTTTCATTTTGTTGACAGTTTCTCTGTGGGGTGACGTACCTTCCCCTGAGCCACAAGCTCCCTTTGTGCTGCTGAAGCAGCTTTGACCAGAGCACTTGTGGCAGCTGCAATGGACTTGGCTGCCTCCAGAATTTGCTCCTCAAAGTTCAAGCTCTCATCTGCCTCCTGTTTATAAGAAGGGAAAAAACAAACGAGCAATAAATACACCTGTCTGTCTGTGATGAACTGTAGAGCACGTCAGGTAAAAGACGTGTAGCGAGAGAAATGAAGCATGGGTATTCAGTGAGTGAATGAATATAAATAGGATAAATAATAAGTCAGCAGGGTAAGGTTTGAGGAGCTGGTTGATATGTAACACTGGCACACTGAATGTAACCCTGGGGTTAGGTGAACAGATTAGGTGTGAATGCCTCGGCTCTGTAAAAAGCCCTCTAACCTTGGGTTTGGTCCTCGGCCTGAGCTGCTCCAGTTTCTTGGCAGCTGCTTCGATAGCAGCCGCTGCACCCAACAGCTCGTTCTCTGCGATGACAGTAGGATCCTCAGGGTCCACCCATTCTGTTCCTACAGCAAACAAAAATAATACTGGCTCAGTCTGTGCCAAAAAAACAACGTCAGTCTACACTCTTCTCAAAGATACTCAAGCTTCAAAAGAAAGAAGAAGCTGTTTCCTGTGTCAAATATGCTTTCAGACACTTCACAAACGTCATCTCTGAGAGCATTAGGAAGGGATAATAAGGTGTCTGTTTCCATTAACTTTTATATTTAAGGAGCTATGACATCTTAGTAAGTACCTCAGCCTTGAAGAGAGTGAACTAAAGGTTATGTATGTTAGGAGTCTCACTAAGCTTTTCTTGAGTGGTGTTGTTATTCACCATGGTGATAGACCTAATCCAGTTTGGAGATATTAGTAAAGAAACTGTGAGAATGTAGTTTACCCGGGAAAGAGTTGGTCAAATTATGTACAACGGGTTGGTATTATTTCTATTTTGTTGCTTTACAACCTGGAATATATACACATTTATTGATTATAAGTAATAATCGACAAATACTCCAGACTAATTAAATTAAATTCTAAGAATACACAAATGAAAAGTGGCATGCGCGTATGTATTCACTTCCCTAAAGTCAGTACTTTGACTTCAAACAAACCATCCCCACAGCATAATGCTTCCACTGCCATGCTTTGTTGTGTGGTGTTCTCAGCATAATTAGGTTTATTTCAGACATGGTGGTGTCCTTCATGAGCAGAATGGTATATTTTAGTGTTGTTTGACCACATCACTTGTTTTAACATGTTCGGGGAGTTGTTATTATGCATTTTAGAGAATTCCAGATGGCTTGCTTTGTTTGTTTTTTTAAACCATGTCTTTTTTGTTGTCTATTCACTGAAGCCCAGTTCTACGAAGTATGCGCCTAAAAATGGTCCTACAGACAGAAGAGCAGTCCAGCTCCATGGAGGTCATCTGAGCTGCATCTCTGATTAAAGCCCTTCCTGTCCAGTTTGTAGCCCTTAATGGACAACCCTCTCTCGGTAGGTTTGGTGCTCTTTCCATTTTCTAAGAGTGAACTTAATGGTGCTCCGTAGGATGGATTCTGGGATCTATCAGAGCAGGTGTATACAGACTGAGATCATGTGAAAATGTTAAAATCATGTTAAAACAAGTTTCTCCCTACTTAAATTTATTAAAAGTGTATTCCATAAATTTATTACAATAATCAAATTTAAAATTCATATAAATTCTAGGCTGTAAGGCAACAAAACAAGATTAACAAAGGAGACAAGCACCTTTAAAGCAAATTGTCAATAAAGAGAATGGCTTCAATGCTACATTTATCTTCTTTAGCTTAGAAAACTGGAGATGGTTCAAATGCAGCTGTAGCTAAATTTTATTCAGACACTTCAATCTTCAGATATCCTGTTCACTGGCACAAAATGTTGGTATTGAAACATGATTTCTCCCAATTTACTTCAAAGAAGCATAGAAAATAGATATTTTGATCTGCTAGCCTTTTTTGCTACAGGTCAAAGGGTAAGATACCTTTCATAGCTTCGGCAGCCTGGATGAGCTCGGTGACAGAGCCCGCCACACGCTTGGAGTAGTTGGCCAACTGCTGCTTCAGGTCATGAGTGGGCTTCTGGATGATCTGTGAATGGAAACAAGAACAAGACAAGGTCAGCTTCATGTGGTTTGCAAAACAGATTTTAGGTCCATTTATATCTCTGCTGTAATTTCATTTTATGATTTGTATTAACATTTTTAAACCAGTTAATCACACGGTGACACAGAAACTTCAACACAAAGCACTTTTGTTCTGGGATAAGAAGCATTAAAAACTGATTCTGTAGGACAGGGTTACAGAGCTCTGATGGGGGATCCAGATGTGGGAGAAATAGGAACCGACATACAAAAAAACAATCACTGTTTAGGCTACACATAAATTATAAGTGATTTTTAATGTTTCACATGTCACATCAATTACGCTTGAGTGAAATGTGTGAGCAGGTTTGATTTCATTTTCCCTCTTATGCTGCAACTAAAACTGTCATCAGCTGGAGGAGTCTGAAACATTACACGTGATGCAGCTGGAAATGATGTCAGTGAAGAAATATGAGCCCAATCAGCCACACGGGGGTGCTGTGCATGTGGCCCAATTGATCCTGAGCTAGGCATGCACCCCCCCCCCCCCCCCCCCCCCCCCTCATCCGACTCCAACACGCACATGGAACGTTCATTTGTATATTTTGGTGCTGCTCGGTCTTTGGGCATGTTAGCATGCCTCAATGTTGCCTAACAGGGACAGCTTCATGTAGAACAGAGATTAGCTCCAGTTTTAGGATGCAGACTGGTGTTGATGGGCAGAGCGGCTCCTCTCTCTTGCATGGAACCAGCTTACAGTTTGGTTAAACTTTGCTTTAAAACTCCAAAGTGTTGAATTATTTTGTGTAGTTTTTGACTTGCAACTACTGCTTCTGACTAGAACTAAAGCTGTCCTCTCAGATGAGGTTTACAGTTGGAGCTGGCTCTCATTTCCCTGAAATATCCCTTTAGATGTGGTGCTGCAGGCTGGAGGACATCCCAAAATGCTCTACTACTATCCTGTCTTTACTCTCATGTAGAATATGTCAATGCAGTTATTATCATAAATACAATGTCCATGTTTTTTGGTTCTGAACCTGGTTCTGCTGGAGTTCCTCTCCACTATGAGCTGCTCTGTGCAGCTCAGGACAGGTGATTTAATCAGAGAAAATCTGTTGCATGGATGGATGTATACTGTCCATGGTATTTAATCGGTACAATCCAATATAACAACTGCCCTTGACTGAACTGAAATGTTTAAAATTTTAAATCATATTTCTTTAACATCCAGTTTGTAGTTGGGGGTAGAGAGAGGTCTGGTGTGGTTATGAACAGAGCGCTGCTGGCATGTGGAAAGTGGGATTGGTTTGAAAAATGTTTGGGTTAGCGACAGGTGTCAAAGCAACAAGTGAGTGAACGTGAGGATCCGGTGGTACCAAGCAGAACACGGTCTGTGCAATGGTTCAGACAGCATGGGACTGATCAGGAGTTTGGTTCAATTTCCACTTCCTTTAGCCGACATGTCCGAGTGGTGTTAGGCACAACACTCAACCTTCATGTGTAACAGTGAACTCAGTCCACTTCATAAAAGCACAAAGATACGAAGAGAGAAAAATAGAGGTCAGGTGGGGGAATTTGGGCCTAAAATGGATTGAACAGGTAGGAAGGATCATATGTGAAGACTTCAGCTGATCAAAATACAGCTGTTCATATCCTCACAGGTACACATCACACCTGCTCTGAGATCTCTGCACTGGCTTCCTATCAAAAGCAATATCAATTTAAAGATGTTATTGCTTGTAGATAAAGCTGTAAAATACCTTGCACCTCAGTATATATACAGCGAGAAAGATATTGACTAGATAAAGACCAGACAGACGCTCAGGCCTGCAGACAATAATTTATTTGTACCTCGACCCTTTCCTAAACCAGGTGAAGCTGCCTTCTCTATTTGTTCTCCAGTAAAATGAAACACTGACTCTACAGCTGAGCTCCCTATGTTGACATTTTTAGGAAAAGGCAAAGACAAAGTTTTTGTTATTGAAAACTTATGATCAGGTTTACCATAATTTCTGAACTATAAGCCGCTGCTTTGAACCCCGCAGCTTATACAATGCTGCGGCTAATTTATGGATTTTTATTTTTGATAGGCTAACGAGCTTCATGCCACCAAAACATTTAGCTTTGTCACACCCAGACGCTCACATAGCTGCCCAATACACGTCTCACTTGGGTGGGGGGAGCGATCAATGACTTCTGGGTAGACTAGTGTATTTTTTAATCAGCCGTGTTACATGCACTGTTCAAAAAACCCAAAAACATTTACTGTATTTGTGCGTGTTACTGGTACGCATTTAATAAAAAGTTTTTCAAAAATCTTCCTGTGTAAATGTCTCATGTTACAACATGAACACCCGCGGCTTATAGAAAAGTGCGGCCTGTTTATATAAAATTTTCTTTTTAAATTTAGCGGGCGCGGCTTATATTCAGGTGTGCAAATTACAGTTTGTCTTGTTCCTGAATAAGCACGTTTGGGATAAATGTTTTCTTTTCATGTGTATTAAATGTGTTGAAAAATCCAAAGTGTTGAATTATATTTTACTGTTTTTGACTTGCATGCTTAGTTTTATGCATTTGTCTAATTTCAATTGTAACTAAAGTTCTATTTTCCCGCCATGCACGACGTGCTACAAACTTGGTTTTGCTTTGAGCCAGAGACACTGAGGCGTCTTGTTGCACGAGGAAGGAAGGAATTGTTTTTACATGGCAGCCATCTCATGACTGAGTGACAAACACAGCAGAGGAGTGCGATGTGGTGGCTCTGAGCTATGACTGATGACCTTCCACTGTCCTGGACAGACAGATAATATTCAGGTTGGAGCAGCATGAGACAGGTGCAGGGAATTAACAGGGCTAAGCCCCACACCCAGCTCAACTTTATTCACAAGTGATGTCAGAAAAGGACTGATGTAACGCCAGAGAAACGCATGCAGAGGGGGGGACAAATCCTGCAGGCAAACAAAACCATCCCCCCAGACTGTACGCCAACAATCTGACATCACACTGTGACCAGAACATATTACCTGCTGAAACAAAACGGAAATAAATGCATCACACAAAAAACATCTATTGGTTCTATTATAGGTAAAGTTCAAAGTTCCTTTTTTTTA